GGCTGGGCCGGCGGCGCGGAGGGGCTCACGCTGCGGGCGGCCTGTCTTTCGTCTCCTTCCAGCTGCGGGAGTACAAGGTGGTCGGGCGATGCCTGCCCACGCCGAAATGCACGACCCCTCCTCTCTACCGCATGCGGATCTTCGCTCCAAACCATGTTGTCGCCAAGTCCCGGTTCTGGTACTTCGTTTCTCAGCTGAAGAAGATGAAGAAGTCTTCTGGAGAGATTGTGTACTGTGGCCAGGTGCGGGATTAAAAACCTAAAAAAGTGGGAGATTTGTAAGGAATTCCAGCTGGTACATGTGGAAGGAATTTATATGAAGCGCTGTTCTTGGGGATGAGGTTGCAATTCATTTATCCTTCCGTTGCTGTGAAGCTGAGTGACAAATTCGGTTTTTCAAAGTGGCAGTATTATGTCCGGTAAACTAAACAGAAACTTAGTTCCCAGCACTTCAGAGTTATGAACTATGCCACCAGTCAGTTCTGCTCTCTGGTTCTTATGCTTGTGTCATTGTGGAATATGTCTTTTAAGAGTCATCTGGACATTCGTAATCCTTAGGAAGTAGATATTTGTATGCTTACGCTCATCTGCGTTGGTGCTTAAAGGACATTTTTTAGAGCTGAAATCTTGTGTGTATTTTTCTTTCCACACCGAATTACTAAAACTCTTCACTCTGAATTACCAAGACTTGAATGTAGCTATGTTGGTGTGGGGAAAGAGAGCAAATAGTTGTTTTTGACAATAAAACGTACCACAGTGGTTTCATTAGAGCTCTAAAATATTTATTCTTAAACTTGTAAAATGCAGCTCGTAAAATGTAAACTTGTAAAAAACCTGCCTCTAACTACTTTTGTGCTCTTCTGTAATTCCAGGTGTATGAGAAGTCCCCTCTGCGGGTAAAAAATTTTGGTATTTGGTTGCGCTATGATTCTCGTAGTGGAACTCACAACATGTACAGGGAGTACAGGGATTTGACCACGGCTGGTGCTGTCACTCAGTGCTGTAAGTACATGTAACTGAGGTGTAAAATGGTAGGACCAGTATGTAAGCACAAGATTAAATCTTAAACTGCGCATAAAGCGTGCTGACTTGATCCACGGTAAGATAACTGACACACTGGGAAAATAAAGTGGGGAGTTCCTGGAGAAGTCCGTAGGTGTTTATGTGGGATGTATGTAGTATCTTATTCGTTACCACTCTTGATACAGTTTCTCTAGCTGAAAATCTTCCCGCTACATCTTGGTCTGACTTTCTACAGCTCTAGTAATGAGTTTTGCTATACAGAGAGTTTCATGACCTTTTGTGTGCTGTATATATTTTGCGCACTCTATTTATTGTTTTAAAACAATTGAGTATATCTTCCCAAGTCTTGTGGAGAGAGTATTTCAGATACCGTGTGGGACATACTAGCATCTGTCCTTTGGAGACTAAGTAGAAAAAAAATCACCGGGGAGGGGGGGAGGGAATCTGTGTTGCTCCAAGGCCTCATTGCCTCGGTTCAGGGAGAATTAAAGGTTGTTCTGCTTTCAGTCTGTTATGTGAGGTACTTGAGGGACAGACCATTTGTATAGCTGATGCTGTTGATATTTGAATCCAAAGTGTTATAAACCCTACAGAATGCACATAAAAACCCAAAGAATATTGTTCTTAATAATGATATTCTTGTCATGTGTGCAAATATTAAATGTATCTTGTCGCCTTTCAAAAGCTGAAGTGCTGTTGAAAGTGAAATTTAAGGTTCTACATTAACTTACAATGGTTCCTGTTAATTAACGTACTGAAGGACTGCTTAAGGGGCCTGAGAACTTAATTTGTCACGATACAGTGGCTTTGATACCTTTTATGTTCAAGAATACTTCTGACAGGTAAGTTTTTGATAGGTGTGGTAGATCTTCATGGGAAGCATTGTAAGCCCGGTAGTATTTCAGCAGGCGTATCTCGTGGAACTAGCTGTGGACATCATGGTTTGAAGACAGTGATTTTCACTGCTGCAGGGAGGAATTTTCAGGTAGCCCATGTACCGATGGCTTCCTCCTGTTTTGAAAGCCTAATTATGTGGGCTAAATATCAATTCACATTTCTGTTGCTTGTCAATTTTAAGAAGAGTAAAGATGACCTCAGATCCTGCTTCTACTTGCACCTTCCTTTTGGAAGGGAAATTTTTTTTTAAGTTCACTTGTCTTTCCTGTAATCATATTTCAGTGTTGATTCTGAATCACAGTTTTCTTGTGCAAGAAATGAAATAGTGCCACATAGATTACTTCTGTACTTGCCTACCTTGAAATCAGGCAAGAAGAATAAGATGGCGCTTTCTTGGAGGAGTTTGGTTGTGAATTCCAGGAAGAATTTGCTGCTGCATGTCGGTTCTGTCATGCTTCTGCCATCACTTTAGATACTAAAACCATTACCATTAATTAGAGTTGACCAGAAATTTTAAAAGTTGTAGGTGGTACTATAAACATTTCCTGAAAAGATGGTAGTAAGATTTTTTGAACTGAAAATATCTTGCAATTTATTTCTAATGAGTTCTCCTGTTACAGACCGCGATATGGGAGCCCGTCATCGTGCCCGTGCTCACTCTATTCAGATCATGAAAGTTGAGGAAATTGCTGCTAGCAAGTGCCGTAGACCAGCAGTCAAGCAGTTCCACGTAAGTGAAGTGACACTGCAGTGCCTGGTGGGTCCCGGTCTGACACTGGCCTGGAAGGGGGGAGCTCTCTTGTCTGGTACAGGTTTGCTTTGCAGGCAAAAATAGGGAAGGAATGAAACTTGCATGCGTAGGTTTACAATTACGTTATATTATGATCAAGACTTTTAATGCTAGAACCATTTGAAAAGTCAAACTAAAACAAATACGTGTTAACGTTGCAGAAAACTTGCCTTTAACAGGCATTTCTTTCAAAAAGAATTGCAAAACTAAGGCATCTGTTAGCTCCTATGAAGTATATCTAATCTGTGGATGCATTACTTCTCTGTACATAAGTCAGCAGTTGAATATAGCTTAGCTATTTATTGCAACCTATTTTCTGTTGTTCCTCTAATACCTCAATTAACAGAGAAACGCTTTTCTTGCAGGACTCTAAAATCAAGTTCCCTCTGCCGCACAGGGTTCTGCGCCGCCAGCACAAACCACGTTTCACCACCAAGAGACCAAATACTTTCTTTTAAATACGAAAATGTGCTATCAATCAACTCTGTGTTGTAATAAAGGTCTTATTTGAACCTTTGACTCCCAGTTGTCTTTTGGAAACGGTGTCCTGGGTACCTAGGAGTCCTCCTTCCTACTCTTTTATTTTCTCTAAACTATTGGCAGCCTACTATTGACAGCCGTGGTTGCCTTCAAACAGGTACTGACTTAAATTACCAAAATATCCCATCAATAAACCAGAATTTTAATTACCAGCTTTCCAGGTCAGAGCAAGTCTATTGTCGAGCAGCTATAAAATCCTACATTCATTTTGTCCCTTAGGCACAGTAAGTAAGTAAGCAAATACAGTTGAATTCAGGAAGGCGGCAGCTTTTTGTGCGTGCAGAACTCAAACTCGTCAGCTGTAAGAATAAAGACCTCATAACTTCAGTTAAGCTACTTCAAGTTTTAGGCATTTAAAGCCAAGACTTTAGTTCTAACCTGGACCTTCTCAAGAATGTTACACACCATTCTGAATTAACTCATGTACATGTACAGAGGTGCCTGCACCTAGAAATGAAAAGTGACGAAGGGCTTGGCAGACTTACTTCTGATATTAGACCAATTCTTCTGATGAAAATTAATTTTTATATCCAAAGCCCCATTTACAATATAATGCCACAGTAAAAAAAATGTGTTGCAGACGCCGTGTAGTTAAGTGGAGTTAAAAAGACTGCTTCACACCTAAAGACATTTTTTGCTTCTGGTGCCTATTTTAAATTGCAGTGTGTTTTGAGTGTTTCCTGGACAAGAGGGAGGCAGCTAGTTCCATTAGCACAGCGGTGTTGCCCAGAGTTAGAGAGCTGGTGTTGTGTTTTGCCTAGATGTCAGCTTAAAAACAAATGCAGGCACGAGTAGAGTGCAGGGAAATACTGTCCAGAGAGGAAACTGGGAATGTTTTAGTTTCGGAGTAGCTGGAGAGCTGCATCTCAACCAGGCGAGGAACTGCCTCCTGGATGTCAAGCAGGAGCCTGGCTCGGTGCGAGGGGGGCGGCCGTGCCACCAGAGTTGGACCAGTCAGTGCTGCCACAACAGCCCCCCTTCTGCGGCCTGGTGCCGCTGTGGCTCAGCTCTGCCCTCCTCCTCCTCACCCCCGCGGTGAATCGGTTCAGGGAGCTCATCTGCCCAAAGCACGACCTCAAAAAAAAAGGGGATTAATTTGGGCAATTCGTGATCTCCCGGTCGCAAGGGAGGGGAAACTAAACACAAAACGTTTGGACGAGCCGGTCCTGCGGAGTCCCAGCAGGGTATGGCCAAAGGGTGGGAACGAGGTCGCCTGCAAGACCTTCTATTTTGGAACTTTTTGACTGAAAAAGCAATTTAGCATGAAACTGGGCTTCAGATTTAAGCTTCATAAAAGCCAACGCGGCAGGGCGGAGGAGGGCTGGTTACAGGGGGCAGCACCAGCGTGCCCTACGGAACCGGCCCACCGCCGGCCAGGAAGTCAAACACGGTGCTTGCCCGCTGGCTGTGGCGCCCCTCGGGCTCGGGGCTTCCAGACTGCCTGAGTGACGCCGCCGCTGGAACTCCCCACAGCTTATGGCGTCGCTCGACGGAGCCTCCGTGACGAGGCCAAACGGCCCCGCGCGCGGCAACCGCCCAGCCGTTAAACGGAGAGTGCGAGCCCCCGCCCGTCACGTGACCAGGAGCAGGCTCCTCCCCGCCTCGCTTCTCACGTGACAAGGGCAGGAGCGTGAGGGGAGGCGGCGCGAGCTTCTTCCCTCACGCGGCCGCGGCGCCGGACCCGGAAGTAGCGGCCGTTGCGGAGGCGGCGGTACCGCCGGGCGGGATGGGGGAGTCGATCCCGCTGGGCGCGCCGGTGCCGGTGGAGCAGGCCGTGCTGGAGACCTTCTTCTCCCACCTGGGCATCTTCTCCTACGACAAGGCGAAGGACAATGTGGAGAAGGAGCGGGAGGCCAACAAGAGCGCGGGGGCCAGCTGGCTGGCCCTGCTGGCCGGGCTGGCGCACCTGGCCGCCGCCGAGAAGGCCTACCACAGCATGACCTTCCTGGGCCAGAAGCTAGGTACCGCCCGGCCGCCGCCCCTCGCGTCCCGGGGGGAGGGATCCCTCTCCGCTCCCCCGCCCCTCGGGCCCCCGCTCCGGGCCGCCCCTCGCTCAGGCCCGAGGCCGCTGCCCGCTCACGGCCCGCCCCGCGTTTAGCTCCGCGGGTGTCGGCAGCGCGGTAGGGAAGGGGCGGCTGCCGTAGCCCTACAGGGTGATCTGTCAGCCGGCAGTTGCACAGCGCTAGGTTCCCGAGGACCCTGGCCTCGCTGAGCTGCGTGTCTGAAACACAGGTGCTGGGTCAGCAAGTGTCCGTGGGCCCAGTGAGAAATCGGCTCTGCCGTTTGGGCTACCCCTAAAGAATAAACAAGAGTGCAGGTGGCACAGTGGCTGTGCGAATAGGTACATCTCTTTATTGGCTATCTACCTGCCGTTCCCAAGGTATAGCCAGAAGTGTTTCTGTACTGGCATGCTCTGGCTGAGATTCTGGCAAAGGTGAGCTCAGTGGGGTGACCAAAGGGTTAAAGCTTTTTCACGTCACAGTTCCAGGGCCTAATGTTAGAGCTGCATATGTGTAAGTACTCGGGGATGGAAATAGCCTCCTAAAAGTTGTTATTCATGTAGACTCTGCAGGATCCCAGGAAGTTTTGGCTACAATCTTGGCTGCTTCGTGCTCTCTCAGTATGTGAATAGAAAAATCCCAAACGGGCACAGGATGAGCTGTCATCATGTTGCCCTCTGGGCAAAGCTGCTTATTTTCTCTTTGAACTGCAGACTGGCATGGAAAATGGATCAAGGGATCCAAGTCTGATGTGTAATGCGGTAAAGCATCAAGAAAATTCTGCTTTGGTGTTTAAGTAGTGACTTGGAACTGTTCCATAAGATCTTTACAGACAAAGCTCTGTCTATAAGGCTGACTTTAAAAAGTGAATTTGGTGCTTGCAGAAAGGATAATGTTGACAACAGAAGGGACAAAGTTTTGTTTGTTTATATACTTCATGAATAACAAATAGATGATTCTTCATCATGTCCATGACTTGGGGGCAACTCTTGGCTTAGGAAGGTAGCTATTTCGCCATGATAACCAATTCTCTGCCTTTCTGCCTCAAATTGCTAAGGTCGCTTTTGAACATTAGATGTGTAAAATGGATGTGAAAAGGACTATCCACCACTACAAAACTTATAAGCAGTTTCAAAGTGGAACCTAAATTTGGAATCTCTTTAAAGTTCTGCAGATTCAGTCCCTGTGATCCTTGCTCTGCTGCAGCTGTTGAGTGCTGCAGTGGCACATAAGGCCATTCGTAAATAGAAATTATGAAGTAAGGTTAGTAGCCTTGTACAGTCTTTTGGTAGCATCAAAGTTAAATATCTTTTACTTTGACCCTCTACTTTTGTCTTTTTTTCTTTTTTAAATTCCTCGTAGTGTTGAGCAAGTAGAGAGAAGCACAGACTTCTTTCCCCTCATCCCCCTGCCCGCCCCCCCGAGATAAACTGTGATTGTTTTACCTTTGAATTCTGGTTTACATTAAGATTTCGTAGGGACTGGGAACATTTGGTTTGTATGCACAAATGTCACATGGTTCCCATTTAAAGGTTGCTTCGCAAATTTGAGTGCTTCATGATTGAAGAGCTATTCTTAGGGGAATTCTCTTGAAAAAATCCAGTGTTATTAATAGGAGTGGAGGCTATTAAAATTTCATGATGACTTGATTCTTCTGACTTCCACAGATAACAGTATTTCCAGGTCATGTATCATAGAAGTAAATTTAACTGAACCCTTGTTTTCTGAGAGGTCACGCCATAGCTGAGGCAGATGTGAGGGAGTTGAAGTTTTGCAGCAGTTGTTGGCTGCAGAGATGTGAATTGGGACAAGCGTAACTTGCATGAAATTACATAAAGTGCTACTGATATATGCTATGTGTAATTCAGTTACTTGCAAAATAATACACTGAAATTTGTTTCTTGAGTAAAAAAAAAATACTGTGATCAAACAACACTTAGGAACACCTAGGGGAAAACAAACATGGTTATATACAATTTTCCAGTATTGCTGTCTATCTTTGCTGTCCCTGGATTTTGGTAATACCTCCATATTTATCTGAACAGGTGGTCAGTCATTCTTCAGCCGAAAGGACTCCATCCGAACCATCTACACATCTCTGCATAATGAGCTGAAGAAGGTGGTGGCGACGGGTCGCAATGCACTAGGAGGAACAGCTCCTCACTTGGAAGAGCTGCTTTCTCACCTGTCTGAACAGCTCTGTTTTTTTGTTCAGGCTCGGATGGAAATTGCTGACTTCTATGAAAAAATGTACACGCTCAGCACCCAAAAGTTCATTAACTCTGAGGAACTGGTAAACATTTTGGAATCCATCTTAAAGAAATACAGCTCAAGGTCAGTGCTTATTTGCTAGCAGTAAGTACTCAGACACATGATTTGTAATAAATTATGTTGAGGTTCAAAGCAAGCCTAAAAACTTTGCTGTCCTTTGATTGCTGAGCAGCACAGCCCCTTGCATGAATTCGTGCGTGAAGTCGGTGTTGGTCAGCAGCATCAGACACGCGAAGTCTCAAAATATGACTCCTCTGAAGAAGAAAAATAAAAAAGGGAGAGTGTTTCTGCTCCTCATGTTCTAGGAGCCGTCTTCCCTATTCCTTAATTAATACTTTGCATGTTCATGTTCAGCAGAGAGGAAGGGTCATTTTCCATATAAAAGACTTCTTGCACTTCTTCGTTAGGAGTGGAGGGGAAACAAAGACTTAATTGCATATGGACTTCAGTAAAATTGATAAGCAAATAAAACAGATATTTGTGTGACAATTTTACTTCAGTCTAGAATGTATGTCTGCTTAATTCTAAAAGCTGCACCATCGCTATTTGGTCTACCAAGTAGGGTTTTATGGTGATCTGTTGTCACTTCTCTTGAGAGGTATTAGAGCCAGTAGAAGGAGCACCTCTGAGTCTTTGGTCCCTGTCATTGTGGTTTCTTGAAGTTAACATCTAATAGTTCCTGTTAAAAGAATCCCAGGATGTTTCTAAATGATTCTGGGATGGGTATTTCATATATAACACATGTGAGCCTTGAAAGTGATCGCAGTTTAAAAAAGAGAGAATTTTTGAACGCTTGTCAACAGACTCATATTCTAGCTCTTTATTTTAAAGCAAAACAAGGTAGCCATTGTAGAAAGATAACTTTCAAATGTAGTTGGATTTTTTGAAATTTGTGTTAGTGAAATAGTGTCTAAGACAACATTTGGGGAGAATATTCTGAGGTCTTACTTTTTCAGTTATGATTTTTAAAGTGTACGCCTAGGAAAAATCAGAATAATTCAGTGCTGCTTTCTGACGTTCCAAATCTAAGCATTGCAGCTGACTCCCTTATTTTTTTAGGAATAACTTAGGCAAATTGCTATGCAATTTTGCTATTTGAAAATCAAAACTAGTCTATATGATCTTCGTAGTGATTGTTTTGCAGTTCTTTGTTTGTGAACTCTTACAAGATCAGGGCTGTTAGTCCAATGAAAAATGAAACTTACATATTTTTTTCCTTGGTAATAAACATTAAAAAGTAAAGTTAGGTAAGTTTGGGGTTTTGTTTTTGTTTTTTTTTTTTAAAGTTGATTTATGTTGTACACTAACCATTGCCATCTCTTCTGAGCATGTGCTGAGTCAACGGCACTGTTAAAAATCTGAAAACCAAAACTGATATTTGGACAAAGTGACTGGAGATTGTTATATATGAAATGCTTTACTATGCTATTTAAATAAATTTCAGTGACATGTCTGTACTTCTAAGGCATTATTATAACCTCTTTAAAAAAATAAGCAATGTCTCCCTGGGAAAAAATACTGCTGATCTTGCTTTGCGTTAATGAGCAGTCTCTAAGATGGAGACATTCTAAGGTGCTGTTAGAGCTAATTCAGTAGCTGCTGAGTCGTCCTCCCCAGTCACGTACAGAATATTTCTGAAAAAAGTGGGGATGATGATATCTTCCTTTAGTCCTTCCATTAGTTTCTTCATATCTCAGATTATTTTCTGGGGGCTGTTGTGCTGATGTGTGCTGGCTGGAAGGCATTTCTCTTTTGCAGTCTGTTGACCCAATCAGGTGAAAGGTCAAATAAACTCATCCTTACCCAGTCTCTTCCCTCTGTTAATATATTCCTCACTTGTAGTTGAGGATGTCTGCCATTATTTCAGCCAACTGTGCTAAGGCCAGACAGGGCATCCGTTCTGTAGATAGGTTCTGGCCTTGGTTTCTTTCTTTTACATCTAAAAATAGCTGTTCAGATAATGTAGAGCAAATAAGTGCTTGCTGGTAAAGGAATGACAGAATTAATTGACTGTCAACAGTCAGGTCATATTGTCTGTATCTGAAAAATCATTAACTCTTGAACAGTTTAAAGCTATTTTCTTCCTACTTATTGCTGACTTCTACACAGCCAATACTAGATATTTTCCTCTCTGTTTTTCTATAGAATACAGCTGGAGAAGTAAATTTTCCTGAAACTGTTGGTTTGGGTGGGCTCTTAACTGAAATAATTAAAACAGCATCAGAAGCAGGATCCTTTAAAAGCTTAGTATAAAATGAATAAGTAACTAGTAAACCTATTCTGATGGAATTATTTTTAAGTGTTAAATGTTTTTTCATCTAGTCAGCATTTTGTAAATACATGCATGCATGTGTCATCTATGGAAGGAAAAAAAAAAGCTGTAGAAAAACGAGGCTTCTTTATAGTCTGCAAAACAAAACTGTAGCATCCCTCTGCTTTTGAGAATGATGGGGGGGGGGCGGGAAATCAATGTTCCAATGTGTTTTTAAGTTCTTAACACTCTGGCTTATTGAAATATTGTAAAAACCTGTCTGGCTTACGCGGTACTGAACTCAGTCAGATGCTTCTGTGTTACGAAAGTTAATTGCAGCCGATATACTGAGTACATAACCTGTTAGTTTACTCTGCAACCATATCAAGCTTCTTGGCTGTGGCTGAGGTGTGTATTTTTGGATTAAAACAGTTTCGCAAATCCTGCTGTGTAGCGAAACATGAAAATAGCCAAGAGCCATGAAGCAAAGTAGAAGTGGGAAGCTATACATCATAATGTTAATCCAGGAGATCTGGCAGTGCTGTATTAGTAGGAATTTTTTAATTGCTTTTAAGGATGAAGAATAACCTTCTTGGTCTGACTGCAGGTGTATTGAATACACTGTGCACTTGATGGGAATATTTGGAATAAATAATGTTGCATAATGCTTTTTTTTCCCCCCTTTCTAATACATGGCAACAAACCCGTTTTTCTGCTGAATACCGAAACCTTTGGAAATACATAATGTTGACTGTTAGCAGAATATTATTTTTAATTGACTCTTGTTTGTTCAAAGAAATGTAAATATACTCTGGACTTCTCAGCTCACCAAAGTAGCCAGTAATCACTGTATCTCAGCTATAGCAGGTAGATATGATGATTGCTGACATGTACTGTGTACAGAAGGTGGCTGGTCACCCAACCTAGCCTGTTTGCAGAACATGGTGCATCAACTGATTTATGATATTCATCATTTCATTTTCTTCAAATAAATTTGGACTTGCATCTTAGTAGCAAATCCTTTCAAGATGTGTATTGTGGCTGTAAAAAAAAAAAAAAAAAGAGACACTTAAAAATAGTGATATAAAATTGTAGACAAGTTTCACAAGCCTAAGAATTAATGTTTTGGCAAGAGCTTGATGGAAAATCAAAGAAAAAATAGTGAAGGGAGAGGGTATGAAAAGCCTAAAATTCTCATTCTGTCTTCTGGTCCACAACAAGATTAAGTGTTTTGGTTTTGAACTAAGTGTTTCCAAAATTGATTATATGTATTGTGTCCTGGAAACTCAGGTGAATAATGGAGTCACTTCCACTTTGTCTGAAGATGAGCCGTTACAGGTTGGAAGGATTCAGTATAAACTTCTTTGTTTTAAAGCAATAACAAGACCCAGGATATTTTTCTGAAGTGAGGGGATAAATCTGTCTTGTCTTAAGTGGAAACCTCATCAAGTCTTGTCTTTGAACTATTGGTTGTTCTTTGTTGAGACCTCTTTAGGAGTCCTAAATGCCTATTAGCGAACACATTTACTAAAAAGGCCACTTTTGTCTTTGCTGAAGACTCATTCTTTCTAAAGTTAAGTATTTAGCTTTTGCAGCTGGAACAGTTTTGCACAGTTTGAATTAAGTGTGTATCTGTCAATGATGATGTTATAAATTTGCAAGTAGTTTGAGTATCAAGGGAAGGGAGGTAGGCTGGATCTGTCTCTTTTTTCCTGATGTTTAGAAAAAATAAAGTGAGAAGAGAAAGCTATAGAATGGATCTATAAAATTGCATTTCATTGAGATTTGTTCTAGTAGTAGGATCACTCTTGTGAATAAGATGTGCAGTGGCATTTCTACCTGGTAAATGAGGTGGTTTGCTTTTTTTTTTTTTTTAACATTTCTTACATTGAGAGTTGATTTTGACCTGAATTTTTAACGAGAGAGAAATTGGTTGTTACAGCATCTTCATTGTGATATGATGAAATCCTGCCAAATGTTTTTCCCCTTCATTGTTTTTAGTACACTAGGGTTTGGAGCTTGAGACCTGGTTCATTGGTAAATACAGTTAATCATGGTTCCATTGACTAATTTCCCATCACAATTTTATTGTGAGTTTAAAAAAAACAAAAAGAAAAAAGGCTCAGCTTGGCTTCCTCATAGCATTCCTATACAAACAGCAAATTTATAACATAACTCCTTTGATTTAACTTAATGTCTTACTGCTATTCCAGAGCTATCAAGACATATTTTACCACTAGAAGGGATTTTAAATTGTAACAAAACCACCTGAAACTAGAGAGAAATGGTACTATAGTAGTTCATGGATCAAGATAAACTGTGATTATTGTTGAACTGATCAAATGTAACTCCCTTGGTTTGATAGAGAAATGTCTGACAGGTTTGGGTTTTTTTTCCCAAATTTTTTTTCCCACACAGAAGTCCTGTATGCTCATTAAAAATATCTGTCCTAATTATGTTAAAAGAACAGTTTTTAAAAATTAACAAGGTTCTTAAATTAACAAGGTTGTTTTTTGGTTTACCCTTTACTCTGCATTGATATTTGGTCTTCTGTCTGTGAATTAACAAATACTCTCTGATTATTTCACTCTTGTGTACAGCAGTTCTCATGTCTTGAATTAATGTTATGTTTTCTAGGTTTCATCATCCAATCCTCAGTCCTCTTGAAAGCAGTTTCCAGCTGGAAGTAGATGTGCTTGCACATCTCTTAAAGGCTCAGGCTCAGATCTCAGAGTGGAAGTTCCTTCCATCCCTGGTCAACTTGCACACTGCTCACACAAAACTACAGACTTGGGGCCAAATTTTTGAGAAACAGCGAGAGACCAAGAAGCATCTGTTTGGAGGGCAGTCTCAGAAGGCTGTACAACCTCCGCACCTCTTCCTCTGGCTCATGAAGCTCAAAAACATTCTCCTTGCCAAGTTTAGCTTTTACTTTCACGAGGCCCTTAGTCGACAAACAACAGCATCTGAAATGAAAACTTTGACTGCTAAAACAAATCCTGATTACTTTGGAAAAATTTCCAGCTTCATCCGGAAGTATGACGCCGTCAATGTTTCCTTAATTTTTGACAATCGTGGATCAGAGAGTTTTCAGGGACATGGTTATCATCATCCCCATTCTTACAGGGAAGCCCCCAAAGGAGTGGATCAGTACCCTGCAGTGGTGTCTCTGCCCAGCGACAGGCCTGTTATGCACTGGCCCAATGTAATCATGATTATGACTGATAGGACCTCTGACCTCAACAGTTTGGAGAAGGTTGTTCACTTCTACGACGACAAAGTCCAAAGCACGTACTTTCTGACTCGCCCCGAACCTCACTTTACCATTGTAGTCATTTTTGAGTCCAAGAAGTCAGAAAGGGACTATCATTTTATTTCTTTTCTCAATGAAATTTCACATTCCCTTAAGAACTCCAAAGCTTTTGCAAGCTTGAAGCCTGGATCCAAAGGGTAAAATACAAACTACTGGTGGTATGCCAGCCTTGGGGGAGCTGTAGCTTTCAAGGATTAGATAAATTCATGATTCTCAGAGTCTAATTAAAAAGGAACCATTATTTTTAATGTTATAAGTTCCTTTTTTTTTTTTTAAGCTAACAGACACTTGAAGAAAAGTATTTTTGGGCAGCACTCAGTGGGATAACTTAATTGTGGGGTGCTAAATGGCCACAATAGGATTTTTTTTTTTGTGTGGTTTCAGTATGATTTATTTTTTCAGTTCACAACTTTGTTGCCTGTATCAGAAAGGAATATATGCACTTTATCTTAGTCTGATCATTAACTGACTTCTACAGAGTTTATTGAAAATGTGGTGAGAATGGAAGATACTATCTTTTCAGAAAACTGCATTGCCTGACAAATTATTTCTGGGAACTACATGCTGATACAAGGGAATATTAAAAAAAATGAAACTGCGAGAACAAATTTTAAATAAAAATATAAGAATTGCAAAAGGCACCATTGTTAATGATAACTTAGTTTTCAAATGGTTTAAAATGATAATTGAGGTCTCTTGCACTCTGTTCAGCACCACTCTCTATTCTGAACACCCTCTGTCATAAAGCTTTGTCATTGCTCCAGAACGCAGGCTGGGGTGAGAAAAGCTGCGGCATGGGCTGGAAGGCCAGTATTCGCTGGAGTGTTGTGACATTCTGTGTCCAGTACCAATCTTGGCTCGGGTTAACTGAAGGAGACAAGCCGAGGTTGAGCAGGTATTCTAGAAAGAACAGCTCCATGGAAAAAGCAGCAAAGCTCTTTTCAAATTATGCTTTTGTTTGGTTACCTTAAAAAAAAAAAAAAAAAAAGGCAGTAGCAAATGCCCATTGTAAATGAGTTATTTTCTGATTTGCTGTTAGGGTCAACCTGGATTTGTCTTCAGGTTTTTATTTCTTTCTGTTCAGTTTTAAATAATGTTACAATTAAGCCAAATCACTTTTGGAATTTGGATTTAAATATCTCGCCTATGCAGTATGTTTACCTCATTCTAAAATGTCTTCTTCACCACTAACTTCTAGGCTCCAGTTTGGAAAAAAATATGTTTTCTAGTTACCCTGGAGGTGCTTTATTTTGGAAATTTTTGAATGAAAATATTTCCGAATACAAGAAAAGGGTCAATACGGCTGTACCTGTAGCCTTATATTGCATGATTCTTCTGACCGTTAGCTATGCAGTTGTGCAAGCACTTTCATGGGGATTCAGGAAGAGTGATACGGGTCTGCTGTATGATGTACGTAAGTGTAGTAAAGTTAGATACTTAGCTGACACTATGTGAGGTATAACATCATCAGGTTTGTTTTAAAAGGGAGTTTAAGTCAAAATGTTGGTTTCTGTTAAGACTGAAATATAAAATCTACCATTGCAGATGTGGCTTTTACTGATCCCTTTCTCCCACAAAAGGTTATGATAACTTGTCTTGCCTCTTGCTGCAAGTACCGATTTCTTTACAATCACATAAGCATGTTCTGTTCTTGAAATGTAAGCTCTGACTTTCCACTTTGTGCCAAATAGAGCCTTCCATGCTTTTCTACAATTATATGTTTGTCTGTTGTGAATATCTGTGCTACTGCCTTTCACCTGAAGTCTTAGTCTGATTGCAGTATCACTCTCAAAAGTTTAGAGGCTGTTCTTTGCTGTTGGAAGATAACAGAGTTGCAAATACACTAGCAACTGGAGGACACCTGGTTGTTACAGCATTACACTTTGCAGCTTGAATTGCCCTTTTAACAGGACAAAGTTGCGAATAACAGTATTGAGAGAGTTTGTGTGCTTCCCCCTGTGGGACAGTGACCTTGTAATAGCGTTGTACTATTGCCTTCCTCAGCCTGAGTAACAGAAAAGAGGCTGTCACCAGAACCGATTCCCAGTCTTCAGCAGTGTAATAAAGTGTTGCACAAATTCTGTCTGCCTCAGTATTTCCCCGTTGTACTAGCTGTCTGTGGGAAGGGGGAGAGGAGGCTGGGGGAAGAGACCGCGTGTGGGTACAGACACCTTGCTCATTTCTGAGTTGCAGGGAGCATGTTGGAAGAGGTGAAAGAGAAATCTGCTGCCCTTTGGAGCAGACCATCAGCTTTTATCGTTTGCTGAAATGGCTGGAGGCCGTTCCCAGTGGTTTTTGTGGGGAGAGGAAAAGGAGACAACTCTGTTTGGCAGACCTGGTGGTTTGCTGCATGCTCCTGCCACTGTTTTTGGCAAGTAGTGTCTCTGGGAAGGGATGCTAGGTGATGTTTCTGTGGAGGAGGAGAAAAGAGACTTGCTTTGTCCCTTGCCAGCGGTGGGGTTGTTTGCTGCAGTTTTCTCTAGAGGCTCTTGGGGAAGCAGCCAGAGGAGCCATCCGACTTGTGGGTAAGAATTTCTGAATATTTAGACTGATCAAGAACCAAAGGGACCCATAACCATCACTCTCCCATGGTGTGAGAATGGAGGGAATGGGAGAGAGGTGCAGACAAACAGTTGGAGAGAACTGGGTGCTGGAGAGAGAAACTTTTGTGGCGCTGTCTCTGGGTTTCAGAGTCCTGTCCCTGAAGCTCTCCTTGCAAGATCTCAGCCTTAAATTAATACAAGGTGGGGAGCAGGAAATCCAAGCCATAGGAAGTGGCTTGGATAAAAGCTGCAGGGGTGAAGCTGAAGAGAGGTAACTGCACTAGAATAGATATCAAATAGTTTTGCAGAGTTAAGGCGTGCTATGACCAAAAACTAAGTGTGTGTGGGGTGTGAGTATGTGTGTGAGGAATGAATATTTGCAGATTTGTTAGCTCCATGCACACTTACGGCACAGTTTCTTATTTGATGCTTTGAGGAGTTTACATGTGAAATGATGATGAGTTCTCTGTGATGTAAAATCGGCTAGGGCATAATGAAAACCTGCGTAATTAAGGGGGGGGGGAACATATATGTGGAGTAAGTAAAGGTGATAAGAAGCTCAGTAACTGGAAAAAATATGTTCATTATTAACTTCAGTACTGGAAAGATTGATCAGTCTCTCTACCTTGGAATTGGAGAACAAATGCACTTTTGCCGAGCTGGGTGATAACCTGTCAGCCAGCTTTTCCTCTCCACCAATTTAGCTAAGCAAGATTGAATGTACTAATGTACTTTAAAAAATTTGTATAAATGACTGCTTTAAATGTAAGGTGTAAAGATGTTTATGACAACATAATGAAAGCCAACGCTTCCAGACATATTTAAAAGTTTTTAAAACAGGTACTGCAATTTGATATTCTTGGTACCACTCAGATTGCATAGAATAGCAATGTGGAAGCTTGTCTTGCAGCACATTTCATGTACCTCCTCACTTACTTGAGTCCATGCGGATTTTGGCAGAACGTTTAATTTAGTATCCTTTGCCTGGAATTGAATTCGATATCAAATGTATTCTGAGTTCTCTTACATATTTTATATTTATGTCTTGTAAGATGTTTTCTTCTACATGTGGTGTTTGGTTTTTTCTCTTGAATAAAACGTCTCTCCTTTTCTCCCCCCCTTTGCATGAAGACATAACACAGGGAATGGAAGCTATTAATATATTTTGTATTGTGCTGCAAAGGACTGCAATATATGCACAATGCACATAACATTCAGGTTTTAATGATCTAAAAGCAACGTAAATTCCTGGTATCTATTTGAATACTAACACTGTTCATCTAATGAATTCAAAACCAAAAAAAAAGTCTGTGCTATAGGTGGAAATAATTTTATGGCACTCTCCCAGTTAATTATTGTTCTGGTCCACTCATCATGTATGAGCTTTTTGGGACAGTTGTGATCGTTCTACTGGTTGTTCTTTGTTTGACATCAGTTGTCTGAGGCTTCCTTGCGTACCTGTCTATGACGCCTGCTGCCGCAGGTCAGCCTGCTGCGTTTTACTAGACTGGGTCCCGATCGTCTTGTAACCCCGCTTTCCTTAGGAAAATCAGCAATGTGCTATGCTTCGTTCCTCAATTCCTGTTTTTTTGTCCCAATATCTGCAGCCCCTCATCTTGTAGTAAGAAGAGTGCCACAGAGCGCGGCTGGCCCTGGGCTTGCGGTTAGCTCTGTGATTGCTTCCAGAAGCGCTGGCACTAAGCTAACTAGCTTGGCTGAATGAAACTTTGGTGTTTCTGCCCTGTTTTCTCCAGAAGTCCCGTTTTCAGACTCCCGGAGATGTAAGCCAGCCCTGCCGGGGTGGAGGCAGCCGAGGCCAAGCGCTGCTTGTTTGCCTCCAGAGCAGTCAGTCAGCGTCCTGGCTGCTGGGGACAAGCGTTGTGCTGCTCAGCAGGGACGGCCTTCGGGCTGCGTTCACGTCGAGGCAGGAGCCGTGTATGGGAAAAGCAGGAGAGGCTCTGGAAATGAGAATGCTGACAAAGGACAGCAATAGCCTAATGCTTCGCAGAGCAGGCACACGAAATAAAGAAGTCAAATGCAAGTTGGAATTGGACTTTGATTTCATCTTCCTGCTAGTGAAGGACTGACTTAGTCTCCTTTGGAGGATAAAGGTAATGGATTCTTTTGCCATGAAATCGTTTACGTACTCGATCATTTTCCTCCAGGAGCTGCCTCTTTTCCTCTTTTGTGCATGCGTGGTTTCAACACATTGCCTGATGTTTTTGTAAATGCTATGGAGCTTTTCTGGGAGAGTTTGCCTCTTTGAGTTCAGTGCACTCTTAACTTTCCACCTGGCGTTGCAGCTACTGGGTTTGTGGTAGAATAACAGAGCTCTCCACCTTGCAGCTGGGCCCTGGCCGTGCCCTAGCTGTACGTGGCAGCGGTAAGAATAGCAAAGTGCAGGAGAAGAGGAGGCAAGTCACTACGAGGTGGCCCGGGGCAGATGACAGCTCTGAGAAAGACAGGCAGGGAGAAAACGGACGCAAAAGGACTGCAATGCAGACGGACCGCGAGCAGAAGGTTTTCGTTGGCCCCTCTGCATTGCTGGCCTAATTTCACAGCAATGTATATAAATTTTATATCCTGTAAAAGCTGCGCTAGACCCTGTCTGTAGTTGCAGCTGCTGGTTTTATGTGACTACTTTAAAATAACTACACTATTTCCAGGATGGCGGTGTTCAATCTTTAGGTATCAACAGTCTTGGCAAAGCAGCTGGTTTGGGGCAGATGATTAAAACAGGCTTCGCTGTATCCCATTATTAGCTGGGATATGCTGCTATGATGTTACGAGCTCATATCCGAAGCTTCAGAGCAGTGCAATGTCATGCTTTATTTGTGCAGCTCACTGCTGATCAGATAAAATATTT